GGGTTAGGCAAACCTCATCCCCGCTACCCGTTACCCGGGTCAAAAAAAAAATTCAATCCCCATACCCGGGGTGGGGCGGGGATCCGTCGGGGCGGGTCAAATTGCCATCCCTAGGCGAGGTCGATGCGCAACTCGCTTTGAGCAAAGAAAAAGCTCAGATTTGTCGATGGGACGTTGGAGAAACTAGCGGACGATTCATCGGAGATGGAAGATTGGTGGATGGTGAACTCGATGTTGGTTGCCTGGATCTTTAATACGATCGAACCATCGTTGAGGTCTACCATCACTTACATGGAAAACGTGAAAGACCTGTACGTGGGATGATCTCCACCAACGTTTTTCAATCGGGAATGGACCTCGAGTTCATCAATTGAAGGCTGATCATGCCGTATGTAAATAACAAAGGCAAGCAGTGGTGGCATACTACGGATGGTTGAAGATGATGTGGGACAAATTGGTGAATTACGAACCGATACCTTCGTGTAAATATAGCGGTTGTAAATGCGATATCTCTGAAATACTTGAGAAGAAGCGAGATGAGGAGAATGTGCATCAATTTTTGATGGGCCTTGACGATGTGGTGTACGGAACGGTTCGCTCTAATATTTTATGCATGGAACCATTGCCTAATATTAATAGAGCATACGCCATGATTATTCAAGAGGAACGACATCGGAGTATTGCTCGCAGTGGCGACGAACGTAGAGATGTAGTGGGTTTCGCTGCTCGATCAACTGGGGTCAAACACAAAGATAATAGTTGTTCGCAGAAAAGAGAAACAAGGGTTATGTGGACATTGGGGAAAACATTGGCAAGATGCCAAGACATGCTACCAAATCGTTGGGAATCTGGAGTGGTGGGGAGATAGGGCTCGAACAAGTGACATAGGCCCAATTCGAGGAAGAGGAACAGGACAATTTGGGCGCGACAGAGGAGGCGGTGCAAGAGTGAATCTAACTCGTATGTCTTATGAAAAACCCCTCTTTTGTTTGGATAATTACAACTACCCATCAACTATGAATCTTCTTACATGTCCACCCTTAAGATGTCAAATTCAACATAATCTTCTAGATTCCGTGGAATATTCTCTAATTTGTACTCGGACAAAAATACAGTTTTTGATGCACCACAATCTGATATATACAAGCCAAAAAATACATCTTATGATCATCTTGCTTCGAAATGTAGAGCTCGAATGGGATAAACGAGT